AAAAAAAAAAAAAAAAAAAAGAAAAAAAAAAGCATAAAAATATTAGACAGGATAGAGCACTTTAAGGGCAAAACGTATAATTCTGCTATTGATGATGACACATGATGATATTAAGAGAACAAATTTGCTTGAATTTATTCTAGTCACTTGGAATCACGCAGATATCAGCTATCCTACCCTAAAATAGTATCAGAGTAATGCACGTGATTAATTCTGAAGTTTCAGCATATTATCAGCACTAAGTGCTGGCTATGATAGAAATTTCCCACTGAGCTATTACTTCCTCTGCTGCTTACGATGTATATTTGTCCTTATTTGTAGTTTCATTTCTATAAAGAACGGTATAAAAGCAAGAGCTGCTCCATTTTAAACGAGAGCTATTCTGATTGTTCACGAGACTGTTGAAAGCTAGTGAGGTTGGATTACCTTCATCGAAATGGTGAGCTGTAGTTAAATTTTTATTTTTTTCATAAATCTTTACCTGCATTTCATCAGAAAAGGAACGAGTCCAAAACAGCACTCTGAAAAACTATCGAGAATATAGTTATGGGGAATTCACATCGTTATCAAAAAAATACCTTTGCGTATGTTATTAAAAATATCTCCCCGTTATTTAATCTTCACCTTATAAACTGTATTAAACTATGATGAAAAGTTCATTTAAATCAGTTTGTAACTAATAAAGGAATCCTCTTGTTTTCTTTCAGAGTTTTTCGTTTGCTGCGATTGTTTTCAACTATTACCTTTGCACTTTCCTTACAAGTGCCTCTTTAGTAAGTAGTTATTTACTTCTTCGCGCTTAACACATGTCTCACGTCACAAAATAGGTCTGAACACCAAGCTCTTGTTAATTCCTTCCACGATCCACACTCAAAATGATGATGTAAATGACGTCCGAATGAAGACTGGATAGCTTTGAAATGATGTTAAAGTGCTACAGAAACGAAATTTTCGTATCTGAAATATTTGCTCTAACCTGTAGTTTTGAATATGCTGATCATCGTGAGATAATTTGCTTTGGCCAAAAAGAAGCGAAAGATATCTTTTTTAACCGTTCAAATCAAAAATTTTACACAAAACCATGTCCGGGCCCTGGTACCGAGCGAAATGGATTGATGACGTCACTGGTTGTGTTCACTCCGATAGCGTGGTTTATTTCACTCACTGTTTGTTTGTATTCGTGGGCGAAGGAGATGGCAGATATTGAAGTTTTGTCAAGTGAATCTTCTTCTGAACGAAGCGAAGTTGTCTCCAGTAGCGAAGAGGAAGATGGTGGCGTAAAATGGGGTTGACAGGCCTACACGACTCCCAAGCGTGTGTTTAGAGTAGCCTATTCAAAGTTTAGCCCTCACGAGTATGTCTTTGAGCGACCGCCCTCTTTTGTAAGATACGAGCGGCGGATTTTTGTATAGTTCGCTCAGTAGTGGTTGTGTTTCTATTAAATGCCAGTTTTTCATGAGAATTTGCTTTATGTGTGGCACTGAGTACGCACATCAGGGATTGCGTCTTTTTCGAATCGTTCGCCTTTGTAGATGTACAGCTATTTTTTTGACTGTCTCGATCGTTAAGTTGTCTTGATTGCTTTCAGCTTGCGCCACGCGCGCTGATTCGATCGTACTACAGTTCTTAGTGTTCAGTGTTCCAGCCGTTTTGGCTCGTTTTCTTTTCTTTATTTCGGTATTAAAACGACCGATTTCACGTTCATAGAAGCACATGATCGCCTTTACTGTTTCTTGCTCCGCGTTGTTAAGGATTTGCTTTATCTCATTTTTGAAATCCTCGTCTGCTCTTATTTTGGCCCTCGCCCTATATTGTAGGGATTCTGGGCATGTTCTGCTAGGCATTTGGTACAGAGGGATTTGTTCGTTATCCTCAGACTTGCCGAGTAGATCATCTTCAGTGGCGGTGTCGTATGAGGCTTCCATGTTTTCTTCATTCTCTGAATGGCATTGCTTTGGCCCGGGGCGTTTAGTAGCCCATCTGCCGTTATAATGTCTTTCGA